ACAATCACGGTAGCGACGGAGGCCAACTGCTCGGACGAAATTGAGACGATCTCCTCTTGTTGTGGTATCGCTCCGCTGTCCACAAAGTTAACCTCGCCCTCTAGCGGGGTGCGGACGCTCACGTCGGCAGCCGAGAGCGAAAGAACGCGCCGCTGCAACTCCGCATCCGCCGGATGCAATTCCGTTTCCACAACGAGTCGTTTCGAGATATCCACCCCTTTCAGAAGATCTTTTGTCGGGCCGTACCCTTTCGACCGCACCGTCGTCGCTGGTGGTGGCAACGGGAATGGGGATGACGAGACGCAGCGGAGCCCCACACACCGTCGCAGAGCTCTTCCAGAAACCCGCCAAACTCGCATTGTGTCCAACAGACTTCCTTTTTTTTTGTTTTTATTTTTTCTCCTTTTTTTTTTCTTTTCGTTACCCCCCTCTTCTTCTTTTCGTTTCTTTCTTTTTTCCTTATTTTGGACTCACAGCCGAAAACCAACAAAAACAACAACAATAAAAAAAGAGCCGGCCGAGCTGCGTTTGGGTGGTAAAAAGAGGAAGAAGAAACGGGAACAATTCATCAGAAGCAGCACACAAGAAAAGACGGGGACGATGGCAACAACAACAAGAACAAGAAGGATAAAGTCAATAAACGAGAGCAAACACACAAATACACAGACAGACAGACAGAGAGGGAGTGAGGAGAAAAAAAAAAAGGAAAAAGGGCAGACGGAGAAAAGAAGAATTAAAAAAAAAGGCAAGAAAAAGAGGAAGTGACAAAAAAATCAGGTCTTTGCAGCTGGCGGGTGTGTAACCCGAACTTTCGTGGGACAGTGTTACCTCCCATTACATCACGGATGGTTGCTATGACCATCTCACCGTCAACGGTCACTCTCGGACGTCCGGCATGGTTGGATGGGGCAAACGATTTCTGTATTCAATCAGTAAAAGTGGGCTAGCAAAAGAAATAAAAAAAAAAAAAGAAAAAGGAATGGCATTGCTCGACGATGAAAAAGAAATTATTACATATATATTTTTAAAGAACAATCGACTTCTTTGCCAATGCCTCACATGCCATCACCAGCATCCCCCCGGTTGTGGCTTCACGCAGCAGTCGGGGCGGAGGTGTCACACCCACCCGCCCTCTCCACCAGAAAAAAAGAAGTGCGGGGCCCTCTTTCTTCGTTTCTCTGCATAAACACACACACACAATCTGCGTCAACAGCAACAACAGCAGGTGTTCTCTCCCAGAAATCCCCCTCCCCCCCCCAAAAAAGAACAAAAACAACAAGTCAGGCGAGCGGACGTCGCCCCTTTTGTCACCCCCCTTAAACGGAACCTCCTCTGTCTTTCCCTCTTATCTCTCTCTCCTCTTTCTTGACTGCAATTCGCGCAATTCAAAACCGCTGAGACCTTTCTTCTGCTCCCATGGATTTTTTAGTTTCGCTTCTTTTTTTCTTTTCTTTATTTCTTTTATCCTCTCTTCCTCCCGCCCTTCTAGTGGAACGAAAAATAAAAATAATAGTAATAATAATATTAATGGTATTAATATTCGTAATAATGGTAAGAATTCCTCTTTTTTTTTTTTCCAATCAAAAGTAAGAAAAAAAGAAAAGAAAGAAAAGAGAGGGAAAAGCACGACGCATACAAGTAGGAAAGTGATTGCCCCTCAAAAAAAGATTCTTTTCTCCTCCTTCCCTTCCCTTCCTCTCCCTCTCTCCCTCTCTCTCCCACACTCTACTTTTTTCGTTCTTCTCACTCCCTTCTCGCTCTTCCACACACTCAATCACCTGCTCTATTCTGTCTCACTAAACTAGCGTCTCTGACGAGCCTCTACATGCCTCATTAATTGTCTGATCATACTTCTAACACCCTCAATGTTCTTTGCTTGGCTTGTCAATATACTGTCAACATTTCTACAGTACTTCTCAATGGATGCGCCTGGCATCTCAACCCCATTTAACTCCGTCATCTCCTGCTTTAGAAGTTCCATCATGGCATCAATGTGACGGCGGTGACCCAAAATCACGTTATCTTCATCATCGTCTAAGGAGTCGGCACTCTCAAACAAACCTATTTCATACGGACTAGCATCACGTATCGACACCTCACTACCAACGCGGCTGTGTTTCGGTGTTGCCTTGGGATAACCAGCCCCTTTGACAGGTCCAGTGCTGGTAAACTTACTGGGGCGAAGGCTATCCGAAAAATTGGGATAATCATCGTCCTTTGTAAGCTTCCGAGGGCGCTGTTGAGGTGCCTTGGGTCGGTAAGCGCCAGTGAATCCACCACCGATTGGTTTCAGGTTTGGTGTACCCAGATCACGTGAGAGCTGACTTGAAGATCGGGTGCCCGCCTTTTTCTCACGCGCCCGTCGCTGGGCAAAGGTTCCACTGAGGCCAAGTGTCTCCACTTCTTCACTCGGCATTTGACCAATCATGATTTCCTCAGCAGCTATGCGAGTCGATTTATCCTTCCTCAGCTCCTTTACGCGATCTGCGTAGCGAAGAGTGTTCAGTGTATGTTCACAACTTCCACTTGCAGGGCTTACATTGCCTATCATGACGGTACGGCTGTTTCCTGTAAAACAATCCCGGAGTACAGCTGTGAGCTTTGAGCCACGAAAAGGGATATGACGGTGATTTTGGTCAAGAGCCCGGATGCATTCTTTTAATGCAAGCAGGGATTTGTTGATTTCCGCCCCCTCCAGCCGAGTTGTGCGATCGCTGTCAAGAGTATCCGCACCTCGTTCACTACCCGCGAGGTCAATAAACGTGAACCTACCGAAAAAACGTTTTTTGGCACTCAGTACAGTGATGTGAAGAATGGCGTGGGAGCGAGAAGAATCCGCATTCATACCTGTCGATCCTGCCGCGCGAATAGAGTTTCCATAGTCTATAACCCGCATGAGATGATCTGTATCGTCGACACGGTGTTCTGTCAGACCACAAACATTGATGACACCACGACTATCTTCTCGACACGCAAGCTTTTCACGTTCGTTGAGCAAGTCAAAAAGCTTGCCCCCATAAATCTCAAAGAAAGAAACCATAATACTCATACCAGATTCTAATCGAGAATACAAATCCCTTGCAGCCATAAGGTACACACCTTCCTGGGCGTCTTTTCCAAGCATTGTGAACGTTTTTCCACTGCCTGTTTGACCGTACGCAAAGCAAGTGGCACATCCTCCCTCAAAAACAGTCTCAATCAATGGTTTACATGTCTTTTCGTAAACATCACGATTATTTTGCTTGTCGTCTAGCACCAAATCGTACGTGAAGCGGTGTTTCTCAATGTACTTTGTTAAATCTACTTTTTGCTTCGGCTCCAGAAGGGCGATAACGTGTTCGTTATCTGGGTCTGTGGCCAAAACATCGTAGAGGCCTTCGTTCAACTCTGAACTACTTAGTGGACGTTTGCGAACCACAACCGTGATTCGACTCATTTTGCGTTTCGAGGCCCCACCTTCTCCTGTTCTGCGAGCAATAGAAATGGGAGAGGCGTGCGTCGTTCGACTCACAGTACGTGAACTGGGTGTTGCTTTTGATGTTGAGGTATTCATCTCGTCGCCCATGCGAATAGGGTCCCGTCGCAGTATGGGTGTTTGTTTGATTTCATATAATGAAGAGTTCTCATTCTCCGCCCGAAGTTGTGCGGCTGAGGGTGTGCTATTACGACGGGATGGCGTAGTGGTTCGTGCGGCAGTTGAAGGTGTTGCATGGGAGTTACGATCCGCTTTGCGCGAAATCTCCGCGGTGGGAGAAGAGACAGTGGCAGACGACGTGTTAGCCTGCTCCCTTTTCATGTACTGAATGAGCTCAAAGAGTTTACGACGGTCTGTCATGACAATGACGCCAACCGACTGATAGTCCTGCATTGTGAGCTGTTTCAGCTGCTGCACGCTGGTGACACCGCCATCGATGAAGCCCTGAATGGTGTGTGAGAGGCCTCCCTGCTCCAGAAGGTCCTGCAGTTGTTGCTCCATTGTTGCTTGTTTCCTTCCCTGTGGCTCTTGTCTGTATTTTCACACTTCTCCCCTCCCCCCTCCCCCTCTTTTTTTTTGTTTTCCTTTTTTTTCTCCTCGGGTGGAGGATCTTTGGTAATTGCGGGCGCAAGGGGCAATCACACTTCCTCTACCCCCCTTTTTCTTCGCCTCTCCTCGCGTCTGGTTTACTGCTGGTGTTATGATAATCTGTAAGGCGTGTGGGGTCGGTGTATTCACCGTCGTGACAAACTTTTGGGATATACCCCGAACAAACGCATGCATGATTACAGAAAAAAACAAGAAAAAATAGGTGACACTGGACATGTGAAACACGCAAACAAAATAAAAATACAAATACACGCTCTCCCCCTCCCTCTATGGATTCCTCCTGAGATGAACGCACCGCAGCGGCGGCAATTTCACTGCCCTTTCCCATGCAGTATTTAAAAAGAAGGCAACATTTATTTATTTGTTTCTTCTTCCAGTGCCTCTTTTTATATAAATATATATAGGTGGGAAGAGAGAAAAAAAAAAAACACACATTTCTTTTTTTTTTTTTTCTTCCGTTAAATAATTAAAAAAAAGAAGATCAAAAAAATGGAATGCCCACAGTATTCCTCCTGTTAAAATTGGCGGGTCACTTCACCTTCCGCCATGACTATACGTACACGGCACGCCTCCCCTGTGCCGTGGGCATTGGCTCACGTGGTGTGTCACGATGAGTTCCCCCACGTTGCAGCTGTAAGCCTTCAACCGACAGAAAGTATGGCCCTTCCCCTTGCCAACACATCGTCACATGCCCCACCCTCTCCTCAGAAAAACCTTGTTATTTTCTTCTTCTCATGTCCCAATTTCTTTCTCCTCTCCCCCTCCACCCCCCTTCATCTCCCCATTTTGTTTCCGAAACCCCCGTGCGACAAATTAATCCTCTAACCCCCTTCTCTCACCCACCCACCCACCCCAGCTCTCCATGCACCTGTACTAACAAAGACATGGGTAGAAGCACACCTCCTTCTTCTTCCTCCTATATACCCACTGGTTTTCGGTGTTTCCCGTCAAAAAGGACCCGGTACAACAGAATCTTCATCTTCCTCGCCATGTTGGGGAAAACACCTGTAGGATCCATCAGAATCCACAGCGAGACAAATTCGTAATACACCAAGGGTGCAAACACCAGAGTGGCACTGAGAAGGATGCGAAGGGCCCCAGCAAGACGGAAGGGGTTCACCAAGAAAATGGCCGCATTAAAGCATTTTTGGGAGAAACTGGGTTTTTTCTCATCGCGACAACTGTACGCACCAGTGCATGTAACCGTGTTAAGGAGATAAAAGATCATCACACGGTAGTAATGAAACAGCAGAGTTAATGAGCTGAGTTCCATTCCAGAGAGCAGTGAAATGGGGCCATCCACACAGTCGCCTCCAAGCATAAAGTAATCAAGGCATGCATCACGCAGAGGGGGACTCTGGAACACAGCATAAAGGGCCCAAGAGAGAATGTTGATGGAGCCACAGTGTAAGAAGCGTTTTTGCGAATACTGCAATATCGCTTTTTGAATTCGATCCTCAATTTCCGCCATATCATTAACGTCATTGCCCCGCAGTCTTGGAATGACGGCAAGACTCTTTGCCAAACGAAGTACATCATTAAATGCACATGTCATACCACCACCAGTGAGTGGATGACGCTGATTCGCATGATCTCCCAGGCCCACATAGCCTCTGATTGACGGAAATGTTGCAGGGTAATGTGCCACAGGCATGGAACGAATGCGACTTGTATCCTTTGCAGCGCGAATAAATTCGGAACGCATCTCTGCCGGAAGACCGGGTGCCACTTCTTCAATAAGCCATTTACTTTGTTGCCCCAAATCAGGTAAAGTTGGTTTATTGTAATCAACCAGCATGCGCAACTCATTTGGATCCAGTCGATAGGACAGAACAGGTCCAGTTTTGGCAAGAAATACCGTGCCATATTTTTCAGAGGGTAGCTGTACATTACGCAAAATGAGCCCAACAAAATTTGAGTGGTAGTCCCGTGCAGGTGTGTAGTGCTGATACCTTGACTTGAACTTTGAGGAGCCGCCGTCACACATAATAATAAGTGGTGCTGTTGCCACGCGCCGCACGATTGCTGTTGTTGTTTCTGTTGACTGGGACTGCGCGGAGACGTCTCTCCTGAATGGCGTTTCAGGCACTTTGTAGTCCTCAGAGATGGAGTACTCC